GAGAGAGAGAGAGAGAGAGAGAGAGATTGTTTGTTTATTGGATAAGAAGACTTTTCATCCTAGAGTGATTAGAGCTTCATTTTATACAAAGTAGACAATTGATATCCCACGAACTGAATGGCATAAAATGTTTCATATTTTTATATATATATCACTATACAATTTTTCAGGGATATCAGTTCTGGACAACAACAGATGACAATGGGTACTTTTCCATTCAGAACATAGTAAGTGGGGACTATAATCTATTCGCATGGGTCCCTGGATTTATTGGGGACTTCAGACACGATGTATCTATTACCATAAGCCCAGGTTTTAACAATTTCCACCAAGAACTAATCAACAAAGTCCTATGAATTAGTTATCCAATCTTAACGTTGCGCTAATTGATGTATTATAATGATGATTAGGGGACAACATCGATGTGGGAGAACTAGTGTACGAGGCCCCGAGAGATGGGCCCACGCTATGGGAGATAGATGTACCTGATCGTACGGCCCAGGAATATTTTGTACCAGATCCCAATCCTAACTATATTAACAAACTTTATGTCAATCATCCTGACAGGTCTTCCACTTTTACTTTTTTTTATATATATATAAATTTAGGTCTTTTTTGCAATTTTTGATATTTAATCATGTTTTTTTCTAAGGAGATAATTTATTTGAGTACATTATTTAATTTATTGTTATTATGTGAAGATTTTAGTGTGTGTGTGTGTATGTGTGTGTGTGTGAAAGATTAGGTTTAGGCAGTATGGATTATGGGAGAGATATGCTGAATTGTACCCAAATGAGGATTTAGTTTACACTGTTGGGGAGAGCAATTATGCCACAGATTGGTTCTTTGCCCATGTTACCAGGTACAAATTAATGCCTAATATTATTTTTTTAAGAGAAAATGTCAGTGTATTTTCTTTGATTTTCCATTTATTATTATTATTATTATTATTATTATTATTATTATTATTATTATTATTATTCTTATTATTTAAGAAGAATAACCAACTTGGGAATATTATTAAGGGTTAATGGCATAAAAAAACTTTAACTTTTTGTTTAATTGCAGATAAAACTAAATTTTTTCAATTTGGCAAAAAATACCAAACTTTTATTAAGTGTTGCAATTTTGTCTCGTCCGCCGGACCGCCGCCAACTGCCGCCGCCAACTGCCACCCGCCGCCGGCTAACTTCACCGGATATCGAAATTTTTTACATCATCTTGTAGTTCTCCTCCGTGCCGACAACATATCCGAGTTTCACGAAAACATTTCGACGGTAAAGCTTCCAAATTTTTTCGGTCAAAGGTCATAAAAAATTTGTAGATCTACGACCTTTGACCGGAAAATTAGAAGCCTTATCGTCGGAAAAAATTCGTGAAACTCGGATATATTGTCGGCACGGAGGAGAGCTACAAGATCATGTAAAAAATTTCAACATTCGGCGAAGTTGGCCGGCGGCGGGTGGCGGTGGCGGCGTTCAAGCGGGTGAGACAAAATTGCAA